ACTCCCTGCTGCCTAGCGGCTGCCAGCCAGGCCACGGCGGGCACCCAGAGGATGGAGGAGATCCGAGCCGTGATGCCCGCCGTGAGCAGGATCGACGGGTCGGTACCCTTCTTTTGAAGCAACACGCCTCGGTTCGACGAGTGCAGATGAGGTATACCGGTCCGACGCCAGCGTCTAACGCGGTGTATTACATGAGGTTTCATCACTCCTGTAGAACGAGGTTGTTTCTATATAGCAATTCCCATCAAAAGGATTACCATCCTGTTGAAGCCTCTACAACCATTGCACGCACGCGCACGCGCACAGGATATCGCAGTTGTTTTTTGTAAGGATTCCAAGCTTTTGGATTCCCCAAAGCCCCCCGACTTCACATCCAGCCTCGCTTCAAACTGCACAACCCACCTCCCTCACCTCCCCACATGCCGAAATTCTCCCAGGCGCTGCACCAGATGAAGCCGCCGTACTGGAGCACGGAGACAGCCACCACCGCTCCAATACCCACCAGCAACGTGGGCCAATGCGACCGGATGAGGTCCCGAGTCTTCTGACACGCTTCTCGGGATGCGCCTGGTCGTGGCCGACGGCCGTGGTCGTTGGCTTGGTGGGGTTCCTCTCGCCAGTCGTGGCCGATGACTCCACATCCAGATCTGACAAAGGAAATTCGGATAGCAAAAAGAAGCTGAACTGTAACTGGGACCCACCAACATCATTGTCACGTCATGAATTCTTTTCACCCAAAGGCTCAGAAAGGACCCTCATAGCAAGGGTGTTGACCCTCACAACTGGGGATTTGGACCTCCAACATGCAGTTTGAGGGTGCATGAGCCCTTGAGCACGATCATTCACTGCTCATGTGTGTTGGGTCAAAAACTCCGCTCCGTGATCAAACTTTATGGATGAAATGTGTCAGAAGGCCACTTGCTTACATAATAGCCTTGCATTGCTTGTAATGATACGCTAGCTTACCTACCATTTCTCAGTTTCTTCACTCTTCCAAGTGTGAGTTGCCCCCTTGAAACACAGCCTTTGAACCGTCCAAAAACTCTCCCGGCTCAGTCCCCACCTGGCGCGGTCTTATCCGAGGACTCGCTTGCCTCTCATACAGGCTGGGCAGGACATGTCGAGCGCAGAAAAATCGAGATTCCCTCAAGCAATGAGGTTTCATGCAATGACCATGACCAATCATGACCAAGAAGTGGATATGGAAGATGTCACA